TCCCTCATCTCTCGGGGCCTTATTCTTTTTTTTTCCCTCCTCCTTCCCTTTATTCTTTTCCCCTTCCTTCTTCCCCTTATGCCCACCCCATCTCTTTTTCCCCTTCCCTTTTCCCCCTTTTACATTTTTTTTTTTCCTTCCTTCCTTCCTTCCTCTCTTTCCTCTCCTTCCTCTCCTCTTTTTTCCCCCCTACCCCTTTTTCTCCCATTTTGGTCACTTTTGACACCTCACCAATCCGTTTTTTTTTTTTTTTTTTGGGATTACTTTTTTTTTTCACTTTTTCAAGTTCAAAAAAATTTTTTTTAAAAATGTCTTTTTTTTTTTTAAAACCCTTTAAATTTCCAAACATAGACCTATGTTTGCACCGCTACGCTCCAAACATAGATCTACATTTTTTTTACATGTTTTCAGTGAAAAAAAAAAACTAGATCTACTTGGAGTCTAGCGGGGGCAAACATAAATCTACTTTGGGACTTTTTAAAGGGGTTAATATTTTGTTTTGGGTGCTCAATTTTATTTTTTACCTCATCACATTGTTTCATGACACATATCCAATAAAAAGCAATGTATTCTAACCCCAAGCAACACAGCTTTACAGAAAAAGCTTGTATTTTACAGGTCGGGGTGTATTACCCCCTCCTGCCCAGCTGCTGGAAGTGGTTTGCTCTTCACTATCTTGGTCTGGAACTTCTCACCCCGGGACTACCTCAACCACAAGTGAGCCATCAGTTTATTCTTGGCTCCTTTCATGAATTTTTGCCATGCCAAAATGAAATTTTTTTCATGAAACAGGGGGAGGGGGGCAAATTTTTGTACATTGGGGTTTTGGCAATTCCGGGAAATTATTGAATTCTCTCAATATTATAGAAACAACAGTTCGCACAATATACAAATGTGCAAAAGAAAAAATGTGTAAAAGTGCGAAGTATAAAATGCATAACTCACAGTGCATTATGAGGTTAGGGAATAAAGGCTAATATTTATTATATTTGCTCATATTGCCAAAAGTATTGGCCATATTTTTTTGGTTTTCAGCTCTCTGGTGAGATTATCCTCTTAAATTATGATTCTTATTTTTTTTATAAGTTTGGTCTTCTCTCACTGTAGTAGGGAAAAACCCAAAGAAGGAAAAACAAAATTCATTCATCAATAGCTATCTTGCTACAGTTTTATTTTAAAAAAATTAAAGACTAATTACAGAATACTTCAGTAAACATAAATTTAAAGTGTGGGAATTAATATGCAGTGCATCTAAAGCACTCAAACAGTTTCTTCAAATTCTCTCAGCAAAAATCCTAACCTCATCTAGTGAACATGACATTTTTTAAAAAAGCTGTTTCCTAACGGTTTTAATTCACACAACACTAGTTTTGATCTGGGAAAGGGGTAAAAAAATTTTAATATGAATTTTTACTCTAAGTACCAAATCCCTTTTCTTGTTTATTAAATTGGATGGGGGCTCCCTTTCAATTCCCAATTAATAATTTGCTTCAGTAAAGGGGAGAGGAAAAGGATAACAATAAAGGGACTTAAAGATTTTTGTTAAATTTTTTCCCCATACTCCTTACCTTCAACTCTCTTCGCTTAATTTAAATAAATTTGTGTAAACTATTGTGCACCGCCCTTTTTTAGTGCCTTTCTTTCAATTTTAATCGGGGTTTGTTAAACATTTTTTCATCTGTAAAGCATTTTCATAAAAAAGCTCACTATCTTAGAATTTTTTCTTTTTTCCCTTTTTGCTTTTGTTTTACTCTTCTTTTGTTTTTTATTTTTTCCCTTTCTACCACATACAAAAGCTTTTTAAGTAAACCATATTTTTTTCACAGGGGAAAACACAGGGTACTGCTCTACCTATACACAGCCAAACCACATTTTTGAATTCTTTATAAATTGTTCAAAAGCTCCTTTCAAAGGTTTTTAGATATTTTTTAAATTTTTATTTTTTTCTTGTTTTTTGGGAGAAAACCCCAAACCTTATGGAAAGCAATCACGAGCAAACAAGGCATTAATAGTAGTTTCATGTCACATTATTTTATGTATACGGGATTTTTAAAATTCTTTTCGCATTGCACGTACAATTTCTGTATATACTGTATTGAGTCCGGGCCATAAATATTTTCGTTTCCTAATTTTTAAATTTGCTTAATAAGAAAAAATTGGTGCTTGTTTGGTTTTTTCCACATAATCAATTTTCTGTCAACACACAATCACCTATTATTCTGTTTGTGAATTAATTATTTTGTAATTGCTATTTAAACTTTCCATAACACCTTGAATAATTACTAAAATATGCAAAACTATTGCACAAAAATCTCTGGGACTGTGTTTCTAGGATAGACAATATACAGGTCAAGTTATAATTATTAATGTCATGAGGTATGTTAGTGCCTTACCCATTTCTTTTCTTCAGAAAGGGTCATCTAGGTCCAGTTCCCACAGCCAACGGGAAGAATAAAGCCTCAGATTTTGGGTCAACACTCCACCATCCCATCCCGCAGCTATTTTGAGGGAAACCCAATAGATCATTTTTTACTTGTACCAAAAAACTTTTTCCTTAATTATACTTGCTTTCTAAAAGAACAAAAGGAAACAAAATGTTTTATTCTCTTTTTCATTTGTTTCATACGTAAATTTTCCCAAAAAAAAGGAACCTGCACACAACCACCATTTTTTGTTTTCTTTTAATCAGTTTTTTTGAAGTAGCTTAAAACATATAAGACAATTTTTTGAGAGAGTGAAAATGGGCGGATTTGCTTTTCACATTGAAGCTTTAGAGTTAAAGAAGTTTACATCTAAATTAAACTTAAAGATATAAACCTAAAAACCCAAAAAATAGCCTTCAGTGTGGGAAAACCCTTTTAAAAAATTCCTCTATGTAGACTTTCCGACCTTTTCCCCGTGACACACAAAATGTGTGGTGTTTGTGTTTAAACCCAATTGAGGATTGAAAAGTGTTCTTACCCCCTGTGTGGTTGCAGGAGCTGAGTCTCAAATCCTGGGCCCTGCCCTAACTTCCCCTTTCCCGATTCACTCTCTCATAGTTTTTTGGGCCCTGCCATACCTATTCTTTAAAAAGTGTGTGGAATCTACTCCCCACTTCTTTGTTGGGTCATTTCACTTTCCCCAACCCCACCATGAAAATTAAAAAGGGCTTCCTGACATGCTTTTGCTTATGTCTTAACTTCGTGCCCCTATTACCTGTTTTCCTGCATCCAAACAGCCTTCCCTATCTGTCCCATCAATTCCTCTTTAGTATTTTGTATATTTATCATTCTTCCTTGACCTTCCATCCTCCAGTTCATTAGATTCATTTTATTTTGCCCCCTTCATAGCTCATACCCCTTAGCTCTGAACTATCTCATTTCAACTTCTGCACCTTTTCATTTTTTTTAGCATCTCACGGTGGGTTCCAACTGGCGTTGCATTTCCATGATGGCCTGAAGTGGTTGTTAAACCCCAGAATAACCATTTATATTCCTGAGGGCCACTCTCAGAGAGCCAACGAATTGGGTGAAGAGATTATTCGGTTGGTGAGCCTGTGTTGAAGGGGAGTAACTGTGCTTCCTCCCCGAAGTACATTTTCCTTATCTGGCAGATATTTGTTAACATTAATTTTTTTAACAAACTAGTCATGATTACACTATTCAAATCTGGGTTTAAAAGGGAAATTAAAAACAAAAACCTCAGCCCGTGAGAGTCAATGGGGGACATTTTTTAAGATTTTAAAAAAAGGCCCTTTTGTTTTTACCCTAGTAAGGCTTTAACCCTTTGGCTTCTAAGCTTAAATTTAAAAAAATTGCCATTTTCATTTTTTCAAGCCCTTTACTATAAAGCTGTTTTGATCTTGTCTTCAAATTTTTAAATTTTTTTAACTTCTACCATCATAGGTATGCACCCCCAGTTAAAAGTGATACAAAAACCTGGGAGCATTGCTTTAAAAAAATTTAAATTTTCCTGAATATACGCTTTTCACCCCTTCATTTGCATTCAAAAAAGAATTAATTAAACAACTTAATTACGCAGCATATATACTACATTAAAAAGAAGTAAAAAAAGGAAAGGATGAAGATATTGGAAGAATTTGACATTATTTTTTTTTTTCATTTTTTTAAACTTTTCTATAATCACCTAACTCCTCAATTAATATTTTGAATTTGGGCCCCCACTGCTTCTCCTCATTGCATTCCACTGTGTCACTCCCAAACCTTAAACCTTTAAAACTTTTGAACCCCCACAATGGTGTTTTAATCTCAAAGGGGGTTTTGAATCTCAAATGGTGTTTTTTAATCTCATAAAGGGGGTTTTTGGGCTCATAAGGGGGGGTTTTAAACTCTAGGGGGGTTTTGTGTTCATTTTTTTTGCACCATCAGCCTGATCCAGACTGTGGGACTTTGTTTAACAATCTCTTCCATTACTTAGATCTTTTTTCTCAAGGACTTCTAGGGGGAATACTGTGGCCCTTGATTTCTTTTTCTTTAAGGAAAACGTGAAAATTTTCCAAAAACAGGTTGCAGCCCAATAATCACCTCCAAAAGGGTATGATTCTTCTTTTTGAAAACCTTGTTAAGTTTCCCAAAAAAGGGGTTCTTTTATTCATAACTTTTTGAACAGTTTTCTTGAAAAATCCAGGCATTTTACCTGTCCAGATATTTTATGTTTCTGAATTTATAACACAGTTTCAGTGGTGTGGGAATCCTGTAGCTCATAGTTTATGGTCATTTGCGAGAACATGGAGATGCTTTGAGCTTTTGTGATGTTCATGATAAATCGTGGAAAGGACATTTGAATGTACAATCATTTTTGTATTTGAATAAGTATGCAGTTTTATGTTTTAAGCTTCAGGAAATAAGTTTATATTTGTTTTCCACATATTGAGTACTGTGTATACAGTATAATTTCAAGAATCTGGAGCTCTAAACTCCAGCACAACAATTTATTCAGAAAGTTTTTGCGAGATCCTAACTCCCGATGTTTGCTAAGTCTTTTCAAGTTCAGAAGGCTCAAAATTACTGTAATGGGGTCCCTTACTTGTGATTGCTCATGCTACAATGATCAACATTTTTAGACAAGGTCCAGTAAACATAATATTAAGATATTAATTGTTTTATGAATGGCAGTCCTTAGTAATGAACATGTGACAGTTATTTCTGTTCATATTCTCTAGGTTTATTGTTACTAAAGACTTGTTTGCAGGTTAAAACACTATGGTTGCAACTTGTTTGTAAGCTAAAACACCAGGAACACAACTCGTTTGCGAGTTGAAACACTAGGAACACGACTCACATGTAAGTCGGCGACCTCCAGTACTGTATTTTCCAGACTTGCCACTCTGGCATCTGGGCCCTGGCATAACCCAATCCACACATCTTTCCTTCCATTTTCTGACATGCTCCCCCTCCCTCATCTGGGCATTGGAATAACCCAAGCTACACACCTTCCCTTCTATTTTTAACATGCTTTCCCTCTCTTGTTATACAGTCTGCATACTTTCCTTTGGCTCTATTTGTTGTTTGGATTATAGTTTTATCATGATATTTAAAGAAGTACAATCATGTAAACTTTCAATTTGGTATGCATTACTTGTTAAATCTGAAATGTGAACAGTTGTGAAATCTGGAAAAGATTTTGACCCAGACATTTTAAGTTTTTGAGGATAAACTGTGTATATAAACTACAGTATTTACTAAACTGTTGCCCATATTTGAGCCTTGTGTCAGAGAACATGTGTGTTCATGAACATGTATGCAGTATCATCTCCCAGGGTAGAAATTTATTTAAGATTTCAGTACAGTATTTCTGTATTGTACATAAGGGAGCTAGATTGTATTTAAAGACACTAGCTGCATAATTCATATTTGCTCCTAAAATTTAAATTTGTAATTTATGTTGTGAAATAACCTTGTTCTGGCTCTGATTGTTGACCTTGCTATAGGATGGTTATCATTATTATCAAGATTCCACATTGATCCCTGTATTCCATATTTTTTTTTTTTTTTAACAAGTTGGCCGTCTCCCACTGAGGCAGGGTGACCCAAAAAGAAAGAAAATCCATATGCTACTAATAATGGTAATAGTGATTTATGCATAATATAAATTAAGGTTATTATTTTCAAAAATGATTTTGCATACTCTGAGTAATAAGGCAGCTGATTAAATAACAGTACAATAATGGTAAACTTATGCTTCCTCTCAGTTGTTTGTTTTAAAAGGCAAAATGCTTAGTGAAACAATCACACTTGGAGTTGCTGATGTGATGCATATGTGTATGAAGTGTGTATGATTCATGGTCCACCATTTGTGGACATTTGGTTTCTGAAGTTGTTCAGCTTCAAAGAAAAGCTTTTCTAGTTATAAGACATGTGTTTGTGGTTGCAGGAGTTGAGCCTCGGCTCCTGTACTAGGGTGGTGGTGGTGGTTGTAATTTTTTTTTTAACACATCGGCCATTATTGTTACTATTTTAATTATTATTATTTATTCACAGTAAAAGGGGCTGAACATGTATGGATGTCCTTGGGTTAGGCTTTAAAATGACCTTATGACTTGCTACTATTAACATTTAAAATTGAGGGAAAAAGGCATCCACATGCTTGCTGGTGTACGTTTGTTGTTCAGTCAATCTTCCTTAATTGTATTGGTAAAAAGAGATGTAGGCACTCGTAAAGACATTAAGGCATAATTTCACCACTTTTAGTGAAACCTTTCCTTAATAAATGTCTTGATCAGTTATACGTCTCTTACCTGCAACTTGTCAGTATTGCCATACCATTTCTACCTCCTTTATTTTTTAACTGTGTCCAGTGTACTAGTATGCTGGTAATGACTGTATGCTCGATGTGCTGGGGTGCACAGTTTTTCATGCCTTTAGATATGCCACCTGAGACAACCTCCTCAAGCCTTTAAGAAAAAATATCTGAAAACCAGGCAGGTCCACACACTGCATAATGCAGTAGCACTGCGTAACTAGCATAAGTAAACAATGAAACCAGGACCAGTTGCTTAACCACTGTCTTCCCTACTAGCAAACAGGGTGTACAACTGCTTGGAAGGTGCATTATTCACTCCACATTTATTACAATTTCATAATACTATTTTTTTTTTTTTTTTTCAACAAGTCGGCCGTCTCCCACCGAGGCAGGGTGACCCAAACAGAAAGAAAATCCCCAAAAAGAAAGAAAATCCCCAAAAAGAAAATACTTTCATCATCATTCAACACTTTCACCTCACTCACACATAATCACTGTTTTTGCAGAGGTGCTCAGAACACAACAGTTTAGAAGCATATACGTATAAAGATACACAACATATCCCTCCAAACTGCTAATATTAAGAGTGGAATTCAGCCAGTAAGCACACACTCTAGATTTAACCTGGGATAACCCAATATAGTCAAACATTGTGACTTATTTCCATGTTTTCACGAGTGTTACATCTTGAAACAATTGTGACATCACAAGATTTCCTTGTAAATGTAGATATTACTGTGATCCGGAAGGCACACA